CGGAGGAGTGGGATGATCAGTTCACAGACGAGGGTAGATTGAGGGGATTCGAGCTGTCGTCGACCCGGCGAAGATGATTTGGAGCAGGAATTTGGAAGCCGGACGACTTGATGAGCGAAGGGCGGACGAATGAACACTCCGCGAAATGGCCTCCATGGAGTCGACGAAACGGCCCCGACCGGGACTCAACGGCGCGGACAGGACGCCGGATGGTTCTCGAAAACGGCCCCAGCACTAGGCTCTCCAACGAGCTCCCCGACGGCTCCTCGGCCGCTTTGACCGATGACAGTTCACGGTCCAGGACCCCAGAACAGAAGAATCGCGACGTCCCCGAGCACACCCACGACTCACCTCACTATGACAGCTCTCTACCCGCCGAAATCGTCCGCCTCCAAACGTCTCTTCGGCCCTCTCCCTCCGAGGACATCTACGCCCCGATCACTCGGCACCTGAACCACACCAACGCCGCCGCCTACACCGTCCCACCTCGCCTCCATCCCGCCCATTTTCCTCCCTCAGAGCAGCCGACCCCCTACACCCCTCACCCTCGCCACTCCCCCGTGCCCATGGCCCTCGTCAACCGGCCGCCCCACGGCTCGCCAGACTCGAGCTCTCTCTCGAACCCACAGAACGCCGCCTGGCTCGCAGCCCTCGCACACGCCCGCTCCTCCGTCTTCATCCAGTCCCCGACCCTCAACGCCTCCCCCCTGCTCCCGGCTCTCCTCGCCGCCTGCGAGCGCGGCGTCCACGTCCACGCCTACATCTGCCTTGGCTACAACGACGCCGGCGAGCTCCTGCCGTTGCAGGGCGGCCACAACGAAGCCGTCGCCCACCGCCTGCACGCCCAGCTGTCCGACGACGCGCGGCCGCGGCTGCACTACCACTGGTACGTCGCCAAGGACCACGCCGCGCCGGTGCCGCACGGCCTCGGCGCGCGGGCGTGCCACATCAAGCTCCTCATCGCCGATGAGCGCGTCGGTGTCGTGGCAGCGGGAACCAGGACACGCAGAGCTGGGCGCACAGCCAGGAGGTCAACGTCATGTTGACTCGCCCGACATTTGCCGCTCGTGGATCGATGCTCTGAGGGAGGAACAGAACACGGCTTGTTCGGCCGGCTGCAGAGCGATGGCATTTGGAGGGACGACAGGGGTGACGAGGTCGAGGGGCGCCATGGGCGTGGATGCTGGACGGTTCGCATGGGCCAAGGGCATCATGGGCGCTGTCAAGAGGGTACAGGGCAAGGGAGGATTCGGTTAACGTTTGTGTTGATCTGAGAATGAGCATGAGTACACAAGCATTCACTGCCAAGAATGGAAAAGTTGCCATGTCACGGCGGTTATCAGATGGCACGCAGCGTCTGAGAGATCATCCCTATTCACCGCGAGCAGTCGTCGGCACGCTCGCTAATAATGTACACTTAGCCAAGCCAAGTCTGGTGAAGTAACGACAAGGAAAGGAAAGAAGTTTAAAAACAGACAAGCAAAGTAAACAAGAGCCGCTGGCTAGAGCGACATGTGCTGTGGTCGGTGTCATACCATGTCCTGTCGGGTCGTACCAGTCGCATGCTGCCACCCTCCCACCCCGCCTCGCATGCAATTCTAGTGCTGCTACCTTTTCTTGTCTTCCAAGGGTATCTCCTCTCCGGTTCTCTGCTTCCCAACAACGCCCTTGAGCACCTGAAGCTTTTCCTCTGTTACGCGGATCGCCTCCTGGATCTCGCGTTCATCCATGCGCTCCTCACGTATTTTTTCCTCCACTGTACGTGGCTCGATCGCCCGCTTGCGCGTCGGCATTGATCCGTCATGCAATCGCTCGAGCCCTACGCGTTCTTCGAGCCAGTCCCACAACTCTGTCTCTTCCCGGCGCCACATTTCCTCGTATGCGGGCCACCCTGTCAGGATATCCGTAGAACCCGACTTCGCGCCGTGCGCCCTGGCCTGGGAATCCGAACCATGCCGCCACAAGCAGTCCAACGAGGAGACCGTACGTAACGTTGCCCGTCATGAGTGGCTTCAGCAAGTCGGTAATCGGACCCAGTATGGGGCGCAGCGGCTCGAGCAACCCCCAGGTCTCCGGGGGTGCGCTCTTGGCATGGCTCTTGTCCTCGCCCCCCGCACCCGACTGCAGGTTGCGGTTCTTGCGGCCCTTCTTCTTCTTTCCGGAGCCTGTATTGCCGGTCCCGGATCGCGGCCTCGAGGACACGGCAGCCTTGATGCTCGCCAAGAGGTCGCTTACATAGGTTGTTTGGCCCTCATTGGCACCGCTCGTGATGGGGCCTACGCGTGTTAACTAGTATTCAGGTGGCAGCTTGTGGAACAACATACCTTTGAGCCAGCTCTTGCCGGTCCACTCCAGGGTGCAGTTGACCTGGACCCTGGTTGAGTTGTTCTCGGCCCAGGACAGGCAGTACTTCGTCTTGACAATAAAGGCATTTCCACTGGGCACATCTGGGGTCTGGGTCGAGCAGGTGATGTTGACTGCTTTTTCCAAATCAATGTGGTCAATCAACTCAGACACGATACACTTGGTCTTGCTCGGGCCGATGGAGCCGCCAAGTGGCTTCATGTAGGAGTAGGTCCGCGTCATGTTGTCCGAGCTCAACCCCTTTCTGTCCTCCATTTGGAGATCCCAGCACTTGGCCTCGTTAACAAGCCACTTGGACATGAAAGTGACTGACGCAGGCCCAAACAAAAGATTGTACACTTTGCCCAGAGGGGCGGGAACAACGTCGTCTCCCACGATCTTTTCGTAGTGAGATGCCGCGTCACCGCACTCGGTAGGGGCATGGGTCGCAGGACCCGGGAAGTCGTCGGCGGGAATAGGTGGGCCGACAGCGTTGACGAGATCGGAAGGCGCGCCGTTAAGCACCGTCGCACCAGAGGCCTTGCGTCCGATGACCTTATCGTGGTCCGACTCGGCTCCAGGTTCTTGGGGCTGCGATGGCTCGACCATGTCCTCTTCATCATCTTCGTCGTAGATGTCATCACCATCTTCGCTCTCGTCATCCGAACCAGACATGCTCTGGTCGTCCAACTGGTCGTGAGCCCCCTCGATTTGGGAACCCTCATCGCCAACATCAACCTTTTCTGTTTTGTCGCCTCCCGTCCCCTCAAGCTGCACTCCGTTCAGTGAACTCCTGAGTGTAGGATGTCCTAGTTTCCAAATGTTGACGATGAGATCGTAGGTTGAGTCTCTGCTGGTGAAGCTTGCGAAAATGTGCTTGGCGTGTAATGTCGAGATCATGAGCCCATTCTTGAAAACGAGCGCCGTGCTCCTCTTCTCGACGGACACTATCTCGTCGAAGCTCATAACCAGAGTAGTCGACCAACCCAGAATGTTGCTGCTGAAGCAGAGGTGCCCTTCGGACACGTATAGACGGCCGTGAGCCAGAATCTCTCGCTGCAGCGCACAGCTGTAGTCTTCGATGAGATAGTCGTCATCTGGCACGCTCTTGAACAGCGCATGGAAGTCTCTGTTTCGTTTCTTGCTCGAGACGGCGAAAGCCCGTGAGCCTCTGCTGACTGGTGTTAGCTGCCGGGTTGCCGAGAGAAGAGTTGGCCCGCAGCGATGGCTGCGCCGATGGTTGTCCCGGTCCCTCTTGTTGCGGTTGAGCTTCCTCGGTGGCGACGGCGGCCCAGGGCACTCCGGACGCTGCCGCTGCGAGTTATGGCTGACTTGTCCTCGTAAAGACTGGCAGGCGGCGGTGTGCGGTCGCCCAGGCCTCCATTTTCATACAGTGAACGTGGCGCGTTGTTCTGCGCCGGGCGAGCGTCATCAGAGCCATACTCATGGCTTGCGGCCGAGGAAGTGTCAGCGGCTGGCGCTGATTCCGATCTCGCACGGGTCTCTGATCGGACCGACTCGGGAAATTTGGCTGTCATGGGGGTGCCTGAGATGCTCGGAGGGTCGACAATGCCAAGCTGGTTCAGCGTCAGCTCGCCGTCGCCGAGCGTCTTGACGGCGGGCTCCTTGTCCATGTTGGCGTCTCTGGAGGGAGAAAGGGGCGGCTCGACTTGGACTTGGTCTTCTTCCGGGAGGTCGGTCTGGTTCACCGTCAGGTTGCTAGTCTTCGGCGGCGTCTGGCCACTGTTGTTGTTTTGTAAAGTGTTGCTGAACTGGTTGGCAGCGTTCTGTGCAGCTGAGAGCATAGACGAGAAGAAACCGTTTGAATTCGACGTTGTTGTGGCTGAAGGGCTCTCGGGTGTGGGCGTCAGAGGTGCAAATGTGGTGTTTGACAGTTTGCTGGGACCAGCAGAGCCCGACCTGCTCCTGCGATGTGTGATCAGATTGCCCCAGGGCGTAGGACCGTTTGAAGCATCTGCGCTCTGTTTCGTGGGCGGCGGCGAGTGTAGACCGTTCTGGTTCGGGTCGGTCGGCGTGGGCGGGGTGTTGACAATGATTGGACCGGTCTTCTCGTTTGGCGGAGTAGTCGGCGCCGGCACAACGACAGAGATGCGGTTCGAGAGTGTGGAGGCGCGGGAGCGAGACTTGCGTTCGTTAGGGCGAGAGGAAGCGCCGGAAGCAGTTGTTGCTATGCTGTCGGCATCTGGCTCCGTGGTGTTGGACAGATCGGATTGCGATTGCGAGTTCGAAAGGCTTGGCAGGTTTGGCAGGCTCCGGTTCTTGTCGTCGTCCTCGCAAGGCTCG